CCAGTAGCAGCTCCGTCTCCCGGGCGCTCCAGGGCGTGCGCTGCGCCGAGCGTGGGGACACCGGCTTCACGAGCTCCGTGGGGTCTGCCAGTGCGCTGGGTGAGGAGGGCCTCCTTGGAGGAGTCTCCGGGGTGCCCCCAGACGACTCAACCTCGGAGTCAAGGCTGGTCGGCGACGGCAGCTCGGGGGCTGCAGGCGGGGGCGGCCTCCTGGGCCGGAGCAACATCCCGGGGCCGAGTTGGTGTACCGGCGGGAGAGAGGAGGTGGGCGCCACCCGGGCCGCCCACACGCGCTCTGAGGACCCTGCGCCGCCCTCCGCCGTCGGAGCTGAGTTTACGCGACCCTCCCACCGCCTGGTCAGTCCCGCCCCCTCCGCCCCTCCCTCTCGGCCTTCCAAGTTCAACTTGATCTATTACTGAGCCTTAGTTTTTTTTATCCATCTTTTGGGCCCTTAGGATTGTGAGTGTACAAAGCAAAGTCCTGCCTCCCGTCGGGTGAGGTAGAACCTACAAAACTTAGTGATTGTCTGCAATCCTTTCTCCTCCTGTCTTCCCTGAGGATCTTGAGCTCACATACAGGCGCCAGAGTAAGTTTTAAGCCTCTGGGTCCAAGACTTGAACCAAGGTCTACTACGTGAGAGTCCAGCGATGTAACCATTACGCCATCTGCCGTTTCCAGTGACTGTGATTTTTAAAATAATAATAATTATTTAATTTAATTTATTCATTCATTTAATTTGACAACACACACACACACACACACACACACACACACACACACACACACACACACAGAGAGAGAGAGAGAGAGAAAGCGAGCCACCAGATCCAGGACTCAAACCATGTTCAACCATGTGGGAGCGTCCAGCGCCTTAACCACCATGACACATGCCACCTGCTGGTCCCCGTGACTGTGATTTTAAAACCATCTGAGGTTTGATTAATGTAGTGACATGGGTGCTGTGCCTGCTGTGCATAGTTACGTATGTGCCATGTCCTTTAAGCACTGCACATGTCAACCTATGGAACACCTCCAGCACCAGAAAGCCCTCTTGGGCCCCTTCCTTTTTGTCTTTAGTGTACCATAGTACATTTTCTCTAGGTGTGATTAGTGTACATACTGGCTACTAATCCCAATGCCAATATGGTTGTGGGTTTTCACATGCACATGAGGCATATACCTAACTTATTAATGCACCTATTAACAATAGGTATATGTTACTACAGGCAGGCAGTTTTAAGGCTGGATCTGATAAAGGGCTATGACCATCTGTCAGACTTAGTGCCCTAATTCACAAACTCTAGAAAATAACTTATTTATTCTAATAAAGTGCATCTACAGTTGACGTTATAGGTAATATAAAACATAGGACATCTCCCCCAGGGATTAGGAATAACACAAGGATGCACAACATCACTTTTATTAAATATTATTCTAGATGTCCTAGCCAGTGCAATAAGACAAGAAAGAGGAATAAGTTGTATAAAGATTGGAAAGGAATGGGCTGACCTTATAGTCTAGTGGGTAAGGGAACCAGATCCCACATGGCCAGCCACCATTTTAACCCTGGCCCTGGCAGCTTGAAAACTCACGCCCGGCGCATGTGCATGCGTGTTCAACAGAATAGAGAAATGGAGAAGGGATTGCAGTGTGACCATGCTCCACTGGCGAATGTGTTCTACCTCCCCACCCTCACCCCTGGTGAGTTCATGTGTCTCCTAGGGATAATAATAAATAAAGACAACCAGAAATGCCTCTAGACATTGGCAGATGTCCTGTAGGTAGAATCTCCTCTCATAGAACCACTGGCCTAGAAGCAGTGACATTCAAGGAGCACTGGGCACACCTTCCACCCAGCTCTTGGGTCCAGATAACATTCTCTAAAAAAGAGAACCAGAGTTGTTCTTTTTTTTTTTTTTTTTGAGAGATTTTTCACTGTAGGGCGCGTGCGCTCGCCAGACAGAGAGAGACATTAGAGACAGAAAGCGAGAAATCACCCCCCAGGGGGGATGGTCACGCCGCAATCCCTTCTCCTCCATTCTCTCGGGATCTTGGGCACGCATGCACACGCACCTGGCGTGAGTTTTAAGCCACCAGGTCCAGGACGTGAACCGCGGTCGACTACGTAGGAGTCCAGCGACATAGCCATTACGCTAACTGCTGGTTCCTGAGAACCAGAGTTTTTGAGAAAAGGTTAAACAGGTGATTCTGTGGCTGGAGTTGACAAAGTATCAGATGAGTTGGAATTATCCTGTAGTGCCAGAAAGCCAGAGCATGCTTAAAAGGTGCAAAGTGGACAAAGCATGTTGATAGGACATAGGAAAAAAGGAACAGAGCAGGGAAAGATCCCATTAGGCAAAGCTGTAACAATCAGCAAAAAACCCCCTAAAAGGTAGAGTAAATATCCACAAGCCCACGCCCATGGAATGAATGAGTAACTAGGTACAAGAAAATGTCAATAGATAAAAGAAGAAGAGACAGGGACCAGCAGTTGGCGTAATGGCTATGTAGCTGGACTCCCATATAGTCAACTGTGGTTCAAGTTCCGGACTTGAATTTACGCCGGGCGTGTGTGTGTGTGTGTGTGTGTGTGTGTGTGTGTGTGTGCGTGCGTGTGCACGCGCGCGCCCGCGCTCAAGATCTGAGAGGAGAATGGAGGAGAAGGGATTAAGGCGTGGCCATTCCCCGGGGGTGGTGGTGGTGATTTCTCCCTTTCTGTTTCTCTGTCTCTGTCTTTCTGGTGAGCGCACACGCCCTATAGCAAACACCTCTCAAGAAAAAAAAAAAAAAGAAGAAAAGACAAAATCTTCCTTACAGAGGAATTCTAAATATTGCACAGATACCCCTTTCAGGAGTACTACCCTCTCCATGAGTTGGGATAGACTTAGTAACCTTAGTGACTGGTTTCCAGTGACCAGAGTAAGGGACAGGGGAGATGGTAACTAGAAAGTGGAGAGACAGGCGGCTGCACCCTAACCAAACAATAGGCGTTGACATCACCAGTGTTGTGTGATCAGGTGCTCTCATGGATGGAATGGGATGAACCCCTTATCTCTGAGGTCTTCTTCCCTAAAACACAGAACCCTAAGGTAATCATGGAAAAACACCAGGCAAATCCAAATTGAGGACAAAGTGCCATGTTTTCAAGGCATGTTTTTCAGGCCGCTGGGGCTGTGATTCAAATCATGGGCAGCCATGTGGTATCTGTCTCCGTTAACCATTAGGCTATGGTGATGGCCCTCTGGTTGTTTTAACTGAGGGTTGGAAGGTACTTCTGGTAGGTAGTGGGTGGAGACCAGAGATGTTTTAAACAACCTGGAGGACACAGAGAATCATCCCAAAACATCAGTAAGGCTGTAGTCCAGAAGTCCTGTTCTAAGCCATTTCAGTGGATAGAGCTGGGATGTCTACTATGTCTCTACACATCTCTGTGTTTCCTTCTGTATCTGACTATCTCGGAGTAAATACGAGCTCACTTGAGATCTCTGCCTCTTATCTAACACCTCTGCTTTATTC